ATATATTTAATGAAGTTAGTATATTGCTGGATAGTGAACTCATAGTTTGTGGATTAACTCATTAATTATAAATTGAAATAACATGTGTACTTAGTAGCTTGCACTAATATAATAATTAACAACTACTAACATTTGAACTAAAACCTTTAACCAATAGTAACTTCGTAATATTATCACATTGATTAAAAATTCATACTTCAAAAATGTATTAATATTCTTGATATTGGTATCGAATATAATTTTTTTTCGAAAATCAGTATTCTCTTGAAAAAGTATTATAGTTAAATTTACATTCACAATGTGACTCTTAATAAAGACAAGTTTGTTCAAAAATTATGTCGCAGATGATAGAGAATATATGAATATTTTGTTTTATAATAAAACTTTTGCATCAAAACACACTTTCAAACTCGCATAAAAAGTTTTAGAAAAAACTTTTAAAAAGAATTCACCGACTAGAAAACAACAAACTTCAAACTGCACTAAAAATAAGAACTACTATCACGGACATAACACACATGTCGCAATGCTTTCAGGAAACAATATAAAAACTGCATCTGAACTTTCAGTTTTGCTATATTTTCAAATTTTATCAGAACATAATCTAGATGAAAATATGTTGAATACCGTAAATAAAAATTAAAATATCTAAAAGAGATATTGATATGGATTTATGTACAATTTTTAGACTAAAATCATCCCATCATGGCATAATTAATATAATGCATTTGATGCTCATGCATATATTCATAATTATTATGCGTTTATAGATATAAAATATTATCTACTAATTCAGTTTGTACTAATTCCTAAATCATCAATGTGATTAATAATATGCTATTGTTTATCATACTATTACTATTTATTTTAGGATTCAACGACATAACAAAAACAGTCAAGTACGTGCCACTCAACACAGCGCCTTCAAAAATTAAATCTGAGGACTATTTAGATGATGATATAAAAAATAGGCGTGATAAAATATTCAATAAAAACGCACAAAAAATCGATGATGATGACGAAGAAGGTAATTTGAAAGATGCTTATGAAGATGAATTAGAAATGGAAAAAAAATCAAAGAAAAAACAGGAATCCAAGCCCAAAGATGGAAGTGCTGCTGCACCGAACAATAGTGTTAGAAGTTTGATAAGCCCTGGTAGTTATATATTTGTAAATATTGCATTGATTATGTTTATGAAATTTCTTAGACTAAATTAGTTACCGCATTAATTCCGGTTCCAATTCGCAAATTCAAACAATATCAACAAATTTGTTGTTTTCACTTGGAAACATATTGCTAGCTATATTTCCAAGTGAAATTCCATGTCGTTATTGCTTGACATCAGGCTGCCAGAGTATCGAACCTAGAACTAAACCTTCTGATCAAAATCTCAAAGCCCTAAACACTTATCTCCCAGAAACACTGTAAAATATAATGCATGATTTTATACCCCAATAGCATATATTTTAAAATACTTTACATCTTATAATTTAGATGTACATTCGAATAAATATTACATTCCAAATATTCTTTCCAAAACAATACTACGATTTATCATAATATACAAAACTCCAGCTTTTTATTATAATGATATAATTTTCATCATATAACTGCTCTCATATATATTATATATAAAGATGCATTTAAACTTTTGATGCTATAAAAAGCATTAAAAGCATTATCATGTCACAATTTCTAACGTCCGTTTTAATTTTTTTAAGAAATGAAACGTTACTTAAAACGAAATGCTTAAATTCACTTGTAATAAAATGAGAAAGTATCATCATAACCAGATAATTTATTTATATCATATTTAAAAATAAAATTTGATAAGAAACATAAAAAAATTAAATGTGCTTACTTCATAAACATTTAAACGTTCTTTTAATTAGTCGCATTTCCTTAGAATTTCGTAACATCGTTTGCAAACTGTTGAAAGAGTAATCAATTTTAGATTGTAAAATTTGTAGCTAAATGTTTTATTACACATTTTCATCAGACCTAGAAAATACTTAATTTCTGTTCAGACGGACATACAAAAGTCATTTCTATTAAATATATAGTGCAATTTTATAAATGGTAACAATAATTCAATCATTAGCATTTGTAGATGTAGTTTTGTATAATTTATGCATAGAGCAAAAATAATATATTTTGATATATAGATGTATATATGGATTATTAATGAAGAAACAATTACAAACAGGCTTAAAATGCTAACTCATGTGATTCATGCATTATAGATAAATATGCCGTCAAATTATTGTGATAAAATGAAATTTATGTGCTTTTTAGAATGTACAAATACTATATGTTGTTAATAGTAGATATGAATTAAATAATTGTTTGATATTGTATAGCAACAAAGATTAAAAAGTTTATTTTGTCCAAGTGGGTATTAGACAATAATTTATTTATGTATAAAGTTTAGAGTTTTTATTTATCAAAGATTAAAATTTTAAACGACACAAATTTAGATGAAAAAGAATAAATTGATATATTGTATATACTCATTATTTGTTTACAAAAATATATTGAAAAGATGTATTGTTTCAATTTTCACATCATATCAGAAAAACGTTTTTGACAGTTTTGTTTATTCCAAAATACAATATTAGCGATAATATAATTGATTATGCAGTATAACAAATTAATATTTCAAAAATGAAAAAACCTCTGTTCTGATAAAATTCATAACTCCTTAACAGTTTTTTACTCAGGCTATGAATTACAAATGATTCATAAATTTATTTTCATGAGTATCAGATAATGGCAACGAAATATTCAGTAAAATCTAAAACATATACTGATACTAATAAAATTTCTACAAAGAAACAATAAAAAATAATGGAAGTCAATTTTAGCGATGAACATGACGATAATGATAAAATGTATCATCTTTTAACAATCTCATATAGAAAAGTATTATATTGGAAACAGTAGTAAGTATCTCCGAAACAAAAGAACGAATTCTATTTATCCGATTTCGTGATCACCGCCTGTTATAACAATAAAATATAACGCATTTCATGCTTGGGCATCGTCATTGGTTCTTTTCGTGGCAACCGCAGATTCCCAGCGGACCTCGCGTTGGGATCGCGCTGACCGCTCGGCTCTTCGTAGAACATTCAGCGATTGTGCTCGTCCTTGTTTTATTACATGTAACGTTTTATTATACAGCAGCCAGCGGTCACCGCGCCGTGTAATGACTTTTGCATTATTGAACGACAGATCGACCGCACCGGAGAGACTTGCGGTAAGAGACGCTGGGGTAGGGTCGCTCGAGTGTGGCGGGGCGTCCGGGTCGGCGCGTGGAGGTGTGATAATTTAATTAGGATACGATGGAGAAATATTAGGTTTTTTTATATATGTATTTTTATTTCTTAAATATGTGGCGGAAACAACTTAGTCGGTAGCGTCAATTTATCAATTACCGCAACATTCAAAATCTTAGGGGATTGATCAAAATAAATTTATTTGAAAATCAACATGATTTTTTGTGTTATGATCAAGATACTCTTATATGCAATTAGGACAATATACATAAAATTTTGATATTTAGTTCGATATGTTAGTCAAAATAATATATTATTTAATAATAATAACGTACTTTGATACAGTTTTATATAAATATTTTAAATTTTTAAACTAAATTCGTAATTTTGGAATTCGAGTTTGGTTGGCATATATCGAACCGCATTTAGTAGTTTAAATGGATTTGAAATAAAATATCACAATCATTATAATTGACACATACGTATAATGATATATATATATATATATATATATATATAAATGTGTGTGTGTGGGTGGGTGTGTGTGTTATTGAAAGTGTGCAAAATTTAAATGCACATGGCAGATTAATGCGTTTACACTGTACGCCTAGCTCTATCCGTACATATTTCAACAATGTTGTCAAAGAATGCAAATATATATTTACTCTCAATTCCATGGAACACAATAAATTCAATGCATAGATAAACACATCAATAATAAAACAGATTTAATGAGATATGAAATATTAATACAAACAACATCCCCTTGGCAAATATGGAACGAGACTATGATAAATATTTTCCTTGACAAGCAAGGGATCTACCTCAGCGAGTATTTTCTGAGAAGACGTTGCAAATAATAATGTGATTACATCTCGGATATAAGATGAATCTAAATTGAATTTGCATATCGAATGTATTTATTCGAATTTATATTCTACAGATTGCATTAGCACTAGGCAGAAAAATAAATCTTCAGTGAAAACGTGACCTAGATTTTTTATGAAACAATTTGAAATGAAAGCATATCGACGCTACTTTGCGCATAATAATTGACTTTGGAATTTTAATGAAATAAACTGAATGAAATCAAAAATCGTCGCCTGATATAGGCAGTTATAAAAGTATTTTGCATGAAGAAATATTTAAAGTATAATAAGAACACGTTTAATATTTAATATATGTTTTGTCAAAATAAGATGTACAAAGTATTCCTAGTTTATTTTGATGTCAAATAACTTGATCAAAATTAACTGAAACTGGTTATTTTTAATAAATGCTAAATTATAACTCATCAAAGACAACATGAATAATATATGCTCCCAATCTTCTGAATGTATGATTTAAAAGATATAACGCGTTTTTTGATTAATTAATTAATAATAATTAATAAATAATAATTTCTCGTAGAGACGAGAGGCAAGAGATAAGTCGAGGTTTTAACCGGAATTATACCCAGGCGGTATTGATCCCGACATACCCAGACAAAAGACCAAATGCATAAATGCATTTTCTTCGCTATACAAAAAAATGTCCAAAGTCTCAAATGATTATATACGATTTCTCTTCCTATGCTTGTATCATTACAACTTTTGCCGGTTGCACTGCAGTAAATAACCGAATGTATCTGATGCACTCCACAATAACAAGGTTTCAAAAACTTTGTTACATTTGGTTTTATACTTTACGTTCCAAGTTTTGAGGTAAAATAATCCTAAACTAACCTGTGACTGTGAGCGTGGCCGGCTGACTTCGTTTTCTCTCGCCGGTCAAGGAATGCAAAGTCAGGCAGGAATAACGAGACATCGAGTCCTCGGAACGCGCTGACTTTATCAGAAGTTCGCCCGTGCCTGATGTGACCACGTACCGTCCACCTGAAGTAAAAGCTTTGATAAGAATTCGTGAATAGTGAGAACATTTCTTAAAGGATTTCCCAGCAAAGGATCTAAATATTCATGAAACTTTCAAAGAATTTTGAAATAGTTCCATATATTAAAATTTAGCTTGAAAAAATTAATCAAAAGATTAAAAAATATGCAGAATCGAAAACAATAATTGAATAGAGTATAACTATTATACAGGAAATATATAGCACTTATTCTTCATCTTCGATTTTTAAAAGGCAACTTAATGATTACCCCTATTTCTCTCATTGATTATTTGATATACTTTTCCCCAACTTCCAACCTATATGTATATATGTATACACATATATCCATATAGTGCTCAAAAATGAGGTAATAACGTGTAGTATCCGACATTTTATGGGTAGCAATGTAATGGAACTCACCAACATCGGATCTCCCAGGAAGCAAGATGTGTTCATCCTTATACCACGATGTAACAGTAACATAATCTTGCACTTGAGCAGGTATTATGCAGGTCAGGACTGCTGTATTACCAGTCAGAACATGAGCCCTGTACACCTGAACATCGTAGTGCTGACTGATCACTGAAAGTAATAGAAAAACGATAATATAAAATATAACATAATGCAGTGTGAATAATGAGAATGATTTATTATTATAATTATAATTTATATCCATTTATAGAATCATAATGGTAAGACTAGTACTGAGATATCTCTTTGGTATTACATATTTCAAATTTGTTAGTGCAGGCAATTGTTTCACATCAACGCAGTGAAAATCCATATAATGACAATATTATATACTAAAATAAAATATTGTAAATATATGTTACTTGATATGATCAATCCTTTTTACATGAAGAAACAATGTTCGAATGCCTCCACAGCAAGTTGCACCTCTTTCCTTACAACAGAAGACCACATCTAACTAAGCATACAATCTTACGATTGTTAGTAAATCTTCCTATAGTTTTCTGCTACATTACCATCATAAACCAGCTCAAAGGTGCCTAATCCTAGAACTTTCCTCCAAATACAATAGTTTTACTTTGACAGTTAGGGCTGCATGCATATGTGGAAGATGTAAATGTTTGAAGCGGGTTGACATTACTATTCCCGGAACGCAGAGCAAGAGACTGAATCTGGTTACAGAGATGTACGTGATTTAATGCAGATCTTAATTAAATAATTTGCTTCCTACAGCGATCCATCACAAAATACCCGGCATACAAATATGCCGACATCGTACTATGTACCACAACGAGGAAAGACAAATAATTAAATTTGATGAAATAGAAGGAATATTTGCTATACAAGAAAATGGGCGATGATAGAAATCTCTGTTTCATAATGAATAAACATTGTGTTATTTTGACATAAATTTTATATTTATTTGGTCATACTTAGATATAAAAATCACAAAAATAATAAAGAATTCAAGCAATAGATTTGGTTTTATATAAGTAGAAGAAAAAAGAACGCAAAACGGGGCCATCTATACATTTTTGTTAGAAAAACATCTGATGTTTGCGTTTCACTTTTGTGTTTTTTTTTAAACTTTCACTAGTTAATAAAGCACTTTTAGAACTCCTTTTCCTTGAGTCATAATTTGAATAATTTCCAACAAATTAGACCATAATTTCTATCATTTCAAATCAAAATTTGAAACCATTGAAAGTGCACATGTATTACAATTATATATATATATATATATATATATATATATATATATATATATGCATATGTATATATATTTATATATATGTGTGTGTGTGTGTCTATATACATATATGCTTTATCATTTCCGCCAATATTACCTTTTGCATTACACCGTACGTTTTCATTAGTTCGACTTGTTCGAGATTTTCATTACATCGAAGATATATCTCCGGGATCATCATGAATGCGATATAATATTCCTTTGAATTTGCTATCGCACAATGTACTATCAGTAGGACCTCCTGATTGCATTGAATTGATGATTAATATAACTGAATGATCTATTGTGATGTATATTAGGTATGACATGTATTACACAATTATATTATCTATGTATATAGGTAGATATATGCATAAACGTAGATTAATAAAGGGCTATCTAGGGATTTAATCTGTTCCTTGACCGCTTGACATGACCAAGTCTCATCGTCTAATTAATAAGGTATAGATATTAAGGTGCACTTCTCGAAGTAGCCGATTACTATAATCGTGAAGTAACTTTTTTCGACAGATTCTTTAAACATTACAAATAAATTATTGTTCATGAAACAGATACGTTTTTAAATAATTCAGTTGAGACTAAAATATATTAAAGTGTCATGGGCTGGTTGTTAATGTATTTGGATGTATGTTCTCGATCACCAGTACGACCAGGAATTGTAATGATAGGCTGGACCCGAGCGGTGAACAGTTGAATAGTTGTTGAAATATTATATTTGAGAAAGTGGACTCTCCAGAGTCCACTGGTAGTGTGATAGGCCTTTAGGACGAACAGCGATTGATAGTAATTTGTAAACACCTTCTTTCTGGCTCCAAGCTTGACTGCCTATCTAACTTTTGTCTAACTCTTATATACTAATTCATTGTTTACAACCTATTTACAAAATCCAACAGTAAGCACTTCCGATAACCGCGTAACCTACATATAACTAGCAACGCGTTTTGTAATTATTAAACAAAATAATGATTCTAATTGTTATTACAGTATAAATTCCTCTAAGGCCCATTTAACAATCCTCAATATAATATTAAACCAAATTTATAATTTATAATTTTGCACTAAATATATCATCCTATATACATCAATCCTCTCAGAACTGCATACATAGTAGAAGGTACTATGTATGACGTTCGAGAATATCTCTTGTCATCGTTGTTTGGTCACATGCTCGAAATCCGGACGGTCCGAAGCCTACTTCCGGGATGGCGGTATTCATCGCACGTTTCCGGTAGATAACACCAGCCGGAAACCGGATGCCGGAACACGAGCACTGCGCCATTCAGGAGCGACGGCAGCCGATTGCAACGAATCTGTTAATGGTAAAATAAAATTTATTACTTTGATAATATTTACATAACAGTATTCTATTTATACAATAATACAAGGTATATTATTCCTTTGGGCAGGCAGTCGAAATAGAATGATTTTGTTGAAACTTCTTTCTTTTATACCATGATGGAGATACCCCCTCTTTCACTCCTAGATAGATATCCTCATCAGGTCCGCATTCTATATATAATTTTGTATTCTAACACCTCCCCTCAAAATTATATTTATTATACTATTTGCAGTCCATCCATTCCAATTCTCCTCAGACACTCTTCGTGTTTATTTCTAGTCAAACCTTTAGTAAGCATATCTGCTGGCATCTGTTCGCTGCATAGAAATTGAATATTAATTTTCTTATTAATATATTCATCACGTACCTTGTGATATTTTAATCCGATATGCTTCGTTCGTGGATGGAACCTATTGTTTTTTACAAGTTGTATAGCACTCTGGCTGTCATTATATATTGTAACCGTTTCACTTCCTATATCTAGAGTCTTCAATAATTCGTTCAAATATATAGCTTCCCTTGTTGCCTCACTCAAAGCTATATATTCAGCTTCCGTTGTTGATTGAGCTACTATTTTCTGTTTTCGCGCTTCCCAACTGATAGGCGCACCTGCAAATATGAAGCAAAATCCCGAATATGATTTATAGTCAACTATGTTACCTCCCCAATCTGCGTCTGCAACTCCAAATAAATTTTGATTTGTTTTCTTATATTTCAATCCATAATTCAATGTACCTTTCAGGTACCGTAATACTCTCTTTGCTGCGTTCCAATGTGTTGTATCGTAATTCGTATTAAACTGACTTAAATAATTTACTGCATAGGCAATATCTGGTCTTGTAGTTACTGCCAAATACATTAATGCCCCTATTAAAGATTGATAAGGATACTTTTGCATGATGTATTCATTGGGTTCCTTAGGTTTAATCAGTTGGAGTCTAACCTCGCATGGTGTTGATACTATTTTACAATTTTCCATATTAAAGCGATTTAGTATATTTTCTGCATAAGAACGTTGTTTTAAATATACAAATCCATTTTCCTGTTTGAATTCAATTCCAAGACATCTATCTACTTTGCCTAAGTCTCTCATCTCAAAACATTCAGATAAAGATAGTTTGATTTCATTTAACCAATCTTTATCATTTGATGCAATTAATAAATCATCAACATAAATAACTATCAATGTATGTTTTCCTGATTTATTGCACATAAACAAACATGGGTCTTGCGACATTGCTTTGAATCCCATTGTCTGCAATTTTGTTACAAATTTTTTGTGCCATTGAATACCTGATTGACGTAATCCATATAGTGCTTTCTTCAATAAACATACGGAATCTGGGCTTTTCTCAATATTTTTCAGCCAGGTCTTCGCTGTATCTCTAATTTTCTCAGTAGCCGGTTTTTGAATAGTACCCAATGGTTTCTTATTCACAATTTTATATAATACTTCATGTAATTGTTCTGGCAGATTCATGTAGACTTTTTCTTCAAGTTCTCCATTTAAATATGCAGTTACGACATCCATTTGATGAATTTCTAAACCTATTTCCGCAGATAATGCTGCCAATAGTCTAATAGAAGTTGATCGTGCCACCGGAGAATATGTCTCACAAAAATCTTCACCATATTTTTGTGAACATCCTTTTGCAACTAACCGCACCTTTTTTCTATTAGGTTCTCCATCTAATTTTGTTGTAAAAACAAATCTGTTTCCAATAACTTTCTTTTGTGTGGGTCGCTCAACTATATCCCATGACATATTTTTGATTTGCGCAAGGTACTCGTCTTCTAACGCTTTCCTCCATTCGTCAGCATCACCTAGCTGACTAGCTTGTTCCCAAGTCGTAATATTAATTTTGGATATATTAAAAGCATTTTCAAATATTTCACATTTTTCACTAATCACATTGTTTTCGTTTGAAATCCCTTTATCAACCTCCCCTTCTCCAGAGGATTCTCTTAATGTATCTTCGATCATCTCTTTATTTATTTGATATTCTTTTCGCGGCCTTCCCGCATGACCTGTCCGAATAATCCTAGGACGCCCTTTTCCACGTTTTGATTGCTGCTGTGCTGGTCTTTCATGGTTTGTATTTTGCTCGACATTTCCCAATTTTAAATATACATCATAACCATTTTCACTATATATCTCACTATATTCATTATTAAATCCAGAATAGTTCAAGAATCTAACGTCTCTGCTCTCAATTATCTTATTGCTTCCCGGTATATATATTCGATAAGCCTTAGCATTATTCGAATAACCAACAAAGATTCCAGGTTTAGATCTCGAATCAAATTTTCCTTTGATATTACCATTTTTAATCAAAACATATGCTTTTGATCCAAATATTTGTAAATAACCTAAATTTGGAATTTTTCCAGTCCATACCGTATATGGTATACATCCATCTAGTGCACTTGTTGGACATCTGTTTCTAGTGTAATTGGCATTGCAAACAGCCTCAGCCCAAAACCGTTGTGGTGCCCCCGCTTGCTTTAACATGCAACGTGCCA